TGTTATAAGTTTGAAGTTTTTTGGTTTAGATTATTAATAATTCATAAAACAATGAAAATCTTCTTTGATCTCTTATACTTGTGAGTATTTCAGAGCAAACTTTTACTCTTCAGTTTACTTTTAGATCAGAAGGTGGTGTAATTGTTAGGATTGACTCCTTCAGCATTATACCTGTCCTGCATTTAACCCCAGTGGCTGCTGCCACCAAGTGTTGCTGTGAGGTTTTGCAGTCAGTTTAAAGTTTATGATCTCCTGCCATCAGGAGTCTGATTGCAGCCACTGGCATGTAAGTTTTAATTTATTTGTAAAGAACATTTTTGAGTAGTAAGACATTTTAACTGTACATGGACAGAACATAAGGCAATACATTTGTACAAAGAAAATAATAATGCTCTGTGAATTTAAAAGAAGGGAGGGATTAGAGTTAGAAAACAAATCTTAAACTAATAACTTTTCAGAATTTGATCTACTCCTTGATGCACTCAGTGCTTTTAATTACGGAGCCCGCTGGGTGTCAGGGTAAAAAAAAAAAAAGCCGGCGGAAATCCATGGGCGCGGATTGCTAAACTGAGCGCACGGTTTTCCAATGCGTGCGCGCAGATTAAGAAACTGTGTGCCCTGCTTTGCATTCCGTGCGTGGACAGCTGCGCACGGAGTGCAAAATCTTCACATGCTTATCTAAAACTCTTTCCTAGAAAGAGACATCTTGTCATGATCTGGCCTGTTTGCTCCTCCTTAATTAGTCATTCCTTTCACCTGTCGGTTTCCCTCCCTGTCGCAATTATAATTTATTCCTCTCACCTGTTGCTTCTTGGTTATATTCATTTTAGCCTGAGCTTTCAGTGCCAGATCATTATTTGTTTTCTGTCAGTCTGTCTGTTCAGTTTTATTTCATGGTTCATGTCCTGGATCCTGGCAGCCAGTGGAAAGAGATTTTTGTGTTTGTCTCGTTTCCTGATCGTCCACTGTTCCTCCCCCACGGAGTCCTCTGGGTTTTTGGCTCTATATGTGCTGGGGTTCAGTTTTTATCTCAGTAAGCCTGGCTCCAGGGAGGAGACCAGTTTAAAGTCCTGCTTCAAGTTCTGGTTCCACGTCCTGTCTCGGCTACCCTCATCCACTGAGCCTGCTCATCCGCACCTGATCCTGTCTGCTCCTGTGCATGACCACCTGTTCATGCTTTCTCACCCTGTCAGACTCTGAACCCTCCTT